TTTTGTCGAATGCTTTTTCAGTGTCTATGGAGATGATTATGTGGTTTTTGTCCTTTTTGTTGATGTGATGGATGATGTTGATGGATTTTCGAATGTTGTACCATCCTTGCATCTCTGGGATGAATCCCACTTGGTCACTGTGTATGATCCTCTTGGTGTATTTTTTAATTCAGTTTGCTAATATTTTGTTGAGTATTTTTGCATCAATGTTAATCAGGGATATTGGTCTGTAATTTTCTTTTTTGGTGGGGTCTTTGCCTGGTTTTGGTATTAGGGTGATGCTGGCTTCATAGAATGAGTTTGGAAGTATTCCCTTCTCTTCTATTTTTTGGAAAACTTTAAGGAGAATGGGTCTTATGTCTTCTCTGTATGTCTGATAAACTTTTCTCAACCTTGACTGCATGGTGTCCTCCCAGACCAACACATACAAATAATTGTCTCTCCCCAGTTTTCAGATACATACATTTCAGCCCCTACATTATCCCCACACCCATTGACTCCTGCACTCACACACGTCAGTGAAACTGAGAAGAACACCTTATGTAGAGTCAGGCAGCCTGAGTATGAATCCCAGCTCCCCTGTTGCTGTGCCTGGAGCAAGCTGTGCAACCTGCCGAAGTTAGGTGTCCCTATCTCTGAAATGAAGATAGGAGATTAACTATGGTATCCTTATCTCTAAAATGAAGATAAGAGATCAGCCAAGGTGTCCTTATCTCTAAAATAAAGATAAGAGATTAGCCAAAGGCTACTGGATGGCAGGCAGGTCCCAAATAGCTGTGGGCAGGGGAGAGCCTCTTGCTGATCACACGTCTCAGGGCTGCATTTCCTTGTGCTGCAGGTACAGGGGCCTGTTCTAGTAGAGGACACCTGTCTGTGCTTCAATGCCCTTGGAGGCCTCCCTGGTCCTTACATGTGAGTGCTCCCCATCCCCTTACAGGGCTTTGGCTACAAAGCCACCTGAACTTTGAAATGATTGGTTACATGATATTGTGGGTCAGTCACTGTCTTGGCATCAACAGCAATATTTCAGAGTGTCCTGAGGAAGGATTAGGGATGGGGGAGAGGCATGCCTTTCTTTTGTGAAGTGTGAGAATGTGATTGTGTAAGTGGAGATGGGCAAGGGTAACCCACGCATTGGAGAAGTACATTCATAGGCAGATCAGTTTCAGGAAAGAGGAAATAAGGAAGTTGAGATCTGAAAATAGATTTGCTTAAAACTATGCAGTGCCCTGGAGCCTCTCAGAAAGTCTTTGTGTATCTCTAGGGTACAGATACCCCAATATGAATTGCCCTCTGTAGGGTTGGAGGCCACGTGCACAGAAGTGCTGTTAGAGCTGTGGGTCTTTCACATTTGGATTGCCAAACACGTTTGCCAAGACAGTAGAACTCTTACACATTTTTATTTACCCTATACATTGCTCCATATCCTTACCAGCATTGAGTATTATGACTTTTTAATATTTTGCAGTGTGGAGAGTATGAAATGTTCAGTTTGAATTCACATTTTTCTAATTAACAGTGAGGTTGAGGCCCTCATTGGTTTTATTCATCTGTGCATTGCCTGTTGGCCCCGTTTTCTTTTTCCTATTGGGTTATTTCTCTTCATTTTAAGCTGAGACGTTATTTATTATGTCCCCTTGGCTGAGCTGGGGCTCTAATCCTGGGGGGTGCAGGACAGAGAAGAAGGTGGTAGGAAGGTCCATCTGCTTCTGGTGTCTGACTCAACTTTTATTTCTCTTGCAGCAAGTGGTTTCTGGAGAAATTAAAGCCTGAAGGTATTTATTTCCCCTTTAGATCTGTTGGGAATTGAGGATCCAAAGATGGTCTAGGGGAAGGGTCCAGCTTGTAGTCAGAATCTCAGGTTGTGCCCCCACCATGGAGCCTCGGTTCACCTCAGTTTCCCCACCCTGGGCCCCAGAGAGAGCTGAGATATGGGAAGAGTGGTGGGGAAGGGCTGTTGGGAGTTGTGGGTTTGAGACAAAGGTAGTTTGAACTCTGCTGAGAAGACTGGCTCTGTTGACTGTTTGTTTCTCTGTGCCTTGCTCAGGGCCTGGGAAATAGGGGGCTGCCTGCTTCTCCTGGCCTCATAAAATAGAGTTGAATGATGAACCCCATGTCCCCATCAACCGCTTCTAGTGTTATCACCACAAAGCCTGTCTGATGGGGCATGTAAGCCCTCCAAATTGGGGCCTTCTCCCCACCATCCCAGGCCTCAGTGGTGCGGGTGGGGGCTGAGCAGCAAGACTGCGCTGAGCCTTCACTGCGCCCACCCGCAGGTCTCCACCAGCTCCTGGCCGGATTCGAGGACAAGTCCGCCTATGCACTCTGCACGTTCGCGCTCAGCACCGGGGACCCGGGCGCACCAGTGCATCTGTTCCGGGGCCGGACCTCGGTGTGTACCCATGCTGGTTCTCCCACGCACCACCAGAGGGCACTGCAGTGTGAGCTTATCACCCAGGCTTGCCCAGACGTGCCCCTGGCACCACAGCTAGAAGCACTGTCAATCCGGAATGTATTTGATCCCTGAGGCTGGTGTTTCAGGGAAGTGCAAAATGGGTCACAGCTGCTAAAGCCTGGTATACCCAGAGTTCTGCACTGTATGCCCTCCTGTGAAGCAAAGCAGATGTGGAAACAGGGTGACAGCTCTTCAGGCTCCATTTCAGCCAACTTCTCCAAACTTCCCTTGAATATCTCACGGCCTTTCCAGCTTTCCCTGGTCATATAGAATCTTACTTCTCCCAACTCATTCTTCCCCCAGCTGCCCTTCCACACCCCCATGCCTAAGTATCAGATCCTTAGGTTTAGCAGCTTCTAACAGGATACAAACTAACCTTTGGGCTGGCCTGCTCCCCTGAGCCCATCCGTTCCTTCCTTGTCTGGAGTGCACATCACTCCTGTGATTAGTCCCTTCTGCCCAGGATAAAATCCAGAGCCCCACCGTGGCCCACAAAGCCCTTCACCATAGGCTCCATTGGGGGCTGTACACAGATGTTTCATGTTGCCCTGTTTGGCTAAAAAATTTTTTTATTACTGTCAAAAACATAAAAGTTACCATCTTCACCATTTTTAATTGTACAGTACAGTAGTGTTAACTATATGTATACTGTTGTATAACAGATGTCTAGAACTATTTCATCTTGCATAATTAAACTGTGCCATTGAACAGTTCCCCTTACCTTCCACCAGCCCCCAGGTCCTGGCAACCACTGTTCTACTTTCTGTCTCTGTGGATTTGACCATTTTAGGCACCTCATATAAGTGGGATCATACAGTATTTGTCCTTAATTTTTGTGGCTGGCTTACTGCACTTAGCATAATTTCCTTAAGGATCATTCATGTTGTAGCATATGATGGAATTTCCTTTTTTAAAGCTGAATAATCTGTGTGTGTGTGTGTGTGTGTGTATATATATATGTGTGTGTGTGTGTGTATATATGTATATACACACGTACCACATTTTCTTTATCCATCTGTCAATGGACATTTAGGTTGCTTCCACATTTTGGCTGTTGTGACTAGGCATGTGAAGAGTATAAACATGGGTTTACAAATTCCTCTTTGCAATGCTGATTTTAGTTCTCTGGGATATATACCCAGAAGTGGGATTGCTGGGTCATAACTGCTTGGCTAAATGTTTTAAATATGATTGCAGTTGTCTGCTACTTTCACTGAAAATTATCTCTTAAAACTCAGAAGTTTGAATAACCATAGTCCCTGATAACAGGACCTGGTTAACGCAATCCCCACCATGCCTTACTGTCTCCCCAGCCTTGGCTGCTTTACATACCTTGTTGCCTGCCTACCCCCACTTTACCTGCAATAGCTCTGTTTCTCCTTCTGTTCCCACCTGAGCTCTTTAAACCCAACTATGTATCCTTTCAGCAATGCCTGTCTCAAGATCTTCCCCATCTCAGGACCTTGGCATCAGCTGTGTCCTCCACTTAGAATGTTCTTACCTGGCCCTCTCTGGGGCCAGTGTTCCCTCCTCACTGAGGCCTTCCCTGAGCTCCCCATCTAAGTTACTCCATCCTGCTTTCTTGGGCCCAGCTCCTTGTTTGTTCCCTTTAAAGCACTTTGCCTTGGGTAACCACTCATTTGTTTACTGGTGTACTTAATGCCTGTTTTACTCAAGAGATCCATTCTTTGAGGGCAGGGCTAGGCCTGCTATGACCCCAGTGCTGAGAACACTACCTGCACCACTGTAAATGTTCAGAAACCATCTGTTGTGTGGAAGGTTCCAAGTGCTTTGGTAACTGACCTTGGTCACACAGCTCCCTTCTAGCAGAGGCAGAATTTGCCTTTGGTCTGAACAACTTGACTTTTATGTGGCCAATCTCCCCATCTTCTACCACTTCCTTGTATTTTTTTTAATTAGCTTTTTTTTTCTTTTTTCTTTTTTAATCTTTCATGGCAACATGCTATTTCGTGACACTGGACTAAATTGCTTCTCTGTGTTAACATTTTTCTGTTGGAATGTGCCCATTTTAAGTATTTATTAAGGTCATTATGCATTGGACACTGTGCTAAGTAATTTCTAATTGTGTTATTTCACTTAATTATTAGAGCTTCCTTTGTATTTTGAGAAATACGGTAATAGTAGTGGGCATAGGGCTTGTCTGCTAAGTTAAGGGCCCTCAACTTCCTATTAGAAGAAAATGTTTTCTATCAGTTACTCAAAGTTGACTCTCTTCCTCAATGAAGTCACAGTTGGTTAAAGCTGTGGAGGGGGAGGGTAGCTCCAGAGGCACTGGTGTGGTCAAGGATGTGGTTCATGTATGTTCAGGGAGAGCTGTCCCACTCTGCATTTTATTTATGTATTTGGCAAACATTTGCAGGCATGTTGGACCCCTTGAAACCACATATTTTGAGTAAATAGGGTTAGCCAGATTCATTAACCAAACACAAACTGGCTGCTGCCTTCCTCCTAGTACATCCCCTCCACATGCAGTGACATACCTGTCCCTCCATTCTCTGGCAGGGCCGGATTGTGGTACCCCGAGGCTGCCGGGACTTTGGCTGGGACCCCTGCTTTCAGCCTGATGGATATGAGCAGACGTAAGGAGCTCCAGTTTCTCTCGGGGTGTGGGGTCAGGAGCGCAGCGGTCTGGGTTGGGTGGGCACCCCGCCCAGGTGCAGGCATGCAGAGATGGGTGGGGCCAGGCTCTGAGGGTGTTGTTTCAGCTGAAGGCAGCTCTGCTGGGGTGGGTGAAAGGAATCTGGGTGGCCCAGCCCACAGTCGGGGAGGCGGCCGGGCAGAGCTGGGAGTCCTGGGCTCTCGGGCTCCACCTCCCTGCAGGGCAGCTCTGTAACTTCAGTGGCTTCCCCTCTCTGCCCTTGGCTTGTCAGCTATAAACCTGATAGTTTTGTGGGATGATCTGACTCCCTTGTCTAGTTTGGATAAACGTTAACACACTTTTGTGGTCTTTGGTCAGCACCACATTAAATCTTCCCAATGCAAAGCGTCAGTATTTCACACTAACTCCCCTTGTTTACATGGGACAAGTCCCATTGGCCATTATTGGAATCAGATTTTCCAGACTAGAGGGGCTGTTGGGGAGTGTGGCCTGAGGTGCTGTTATAGGCAGGCAGGATTGAGGGCTGTGTGAAGCGGCACTGTCCAAAAATGTCTTTGGTGAGAGAAATGTTCTCTCTCTGTCTAATCCAGTAGCCACTAGCCACATGTGGCTGTGGAGCATTTAAAATATGGTTCGGCCTGCTGAGGAACAGAAATTTTTATTCAGTTGCTATTGATTTAAATTTAAATGGCCACATGTGGCTGGCTAGTGGTCACCTATTGGACAGCACAGATCGGAAGCCCATGACAGGGATGTGGGATTCTCACCCCCCTGGAGTCCTGACACGGAGGACAGGCCACTGGCCTTCTGTCCCCTGCTCCTCCCCACCTATAGCACATTAGAGGAGACTGCTGTTTGCTCTGTCAGGCCCCACTGCTTCCTGTCAACAGATGACAAAGCTGATCAAACATGCAGCTCATCCCCCTGTCCCCGGTTTCCCTTAATGACTTTTGGACACACTAGAGCAAGTTTAACATCCTTCCGTACTCATTAATATGGGTTTCACCTAGAGGGGAATTTAAAATTATCCTATTTTTAAAAAAATTAACACTGACTGTAATTTGCTGGTGGCCCGTCTACCCTTTCCTGGGACTGCGGGGTGATGTGAGGAATGCACACCTTCCCTGAGTCCAGGCTCCTCTGAGGTGCTGCTGCTGCCCCTTAGGTATGCCGAGATGCCCAAGGCTGAGAAAAATGCCATCTCCCATCGCTTCCGGGCTCTGCGAGAGCTACAAGAACACTTCTGCAGCCTGACCCCTCCTGGGGCTAGTGACGACCACTCTGGCTGGGGGTCTGGGGAGGGCTAGCCTGGAACCTCACCCACGGAGCAGACACCCCTCCAAATGTTTCCCTCACTGCTACTTCCTGGAGATGTGGAGACAGCCTCACTGGCCCTCTGGAGGGCAGCTGGCTCTGCCTGGAGAAGCGCTGGGCAGGAACACCATTCTCTTGCCCTTGGGGTTTCAGTGGTCTCCCCTGCAGTCTCCAGGCCTGGGATTTAAAAAGGTCTTTGGGAGTTAAACTAGCCATGGCAGGATTGAGGGTTTGGGGAAGAACCAAACTACAGCTCTTCATGTTTTTGAAATGCAGCAAATAAAAGTACGGGAAGACACTTGCTTCCAAAATAAACTAGGTATGTCTGCCTTGAAACTTGCCCCCTTTGGCAGGAGCAGGAACCCCCTGGGTGGGGGTGGGACTACTGGACAGGGCGGCACTGTGCCAGGGGCGCTTGGGAGCCTTTGCTAGAGGGAGTGTTGTATCTTTCCTTTTGTTGTTCAGGTCATGCACTGACCTTTTACACGTGAGATCCGTGCCGGCCATCCACTCACTGAGTGATACTGCTGCCCAGCTGGCCTCCATGGTGTTTGCTGGGTTAAGTGGCAGGCAGTGCAGGCTTGTTCCATATACCTTAGAGCAGCTAAGGTCCTGGTCTATGATTGCAATGTCAAGTTCATTTTCATAGCGGGGGTGGTGGTGGAATGGAGTCCTTGACCCCAGTTGGGTTGTGCCGCGTTCAGCCTGGGGCCTCTAGGCCCCTCAGGAGGCCTGCCTCAGCTACCCTAGACCCTCACTGTGTCCTGGTGACACCATTCCCTCGGAAGCACCTCAGGGCCTAGGAGTGGTTAGGGGTGGTGGTGGAATGGAGTCCTTGACCCCAGTTGGGTTGTGCCGCGTTCAGCCTGGGGCCTCTAGGCCCCTCAGGAGGCCTGCCTCAGCTACCCTAGACCCTCACTGTGTCCTGGTGACACCATTCCCTCGGAAGCACCTCAGGGCCTAGGAGTGGTTCCTTTGCCTTTCCTGCAGGTGTTTCTCTGGTAAGAGGTGCCCTACCCCAAAGATGCTCAGAAAGACCTGTTGTGTGGGATGGGATGGGGAGGGGTGCTTAGTGCTGCCAGTCACTCCTGGGCTGGCTTGTGTGCTCATAGGCAGCTCTGGAGGACGTCCCCCCCAGATACTGTTCCCCAGTGCTGGCAGCATGGTCCAGGGGTCTGGGTCTCGCCAGTTTTCCCACCTACACTGCACAGCATGTATGGGTGAGGAGAGAGTATAATTCCTTGGTTCCCGTGGCCCGTGAGGGAGTTCATCTGCCAGCTCTTGTTTCCCTAGTGAATGCCAATGGCCAGGCCCAGCCTCCTGAGTTGTCTCCCTGGTGGTGGGTGGTGTCTGGCTGGGCTCAGATGTGGGGTGCTAGGGGCCTGCCTGCTTCCCGCCTGGTGATTCTGGACATGGCTCCCTTGCAGAAAACACTCAGGCCACTGGGCAGGGGGCCTCAAAGAAGGGTCACTTCCCACACGGGTGGGACAGCCCTTTGCATTTTCTGCTCAGCTTCCTCGTTCTGTCCTGGGCCCACTGTACACTGTTCCCCTTTAAGCCTTTAGCTACCCATCTCCACAAACAACTCTGAACATGCTCGCATCCACCTCACCACCCTCTTGGTGCAGGCACAGCCCCTGCTCCACCCAAAGCCCTCTGAATATAAAAGCTAGGAGCCACCCAACACGCTGGAGAGATCAGAACTGCTGTTCGGACCTACACGTGCCTGTTTTCAGTCTCCTTTCAGGCTGCTCTGCAGCTGCCTTTGGGAGTCAGGACCCTCTGCTGTCAGCCCTACCTATCTCTCCCACCAGCCATGGCTCTTCACTGGCCTAAGCCCTCTCCTCAGGGCCCTAGCACATGCTGTTCCCAGACCACTTTCCCTACAGGTTCCTGGCAACATAGCAGTGCAGAGGCCTCCCAATCTTCCAGGTTTCCCTGCTGAGCTGATGTCCACTGGGTGGGGTTGGAGGTGACAGCACACAAGTGGCACTCAACAAACTTTGGTCCCTTCCATTCCACTTCCCCTGGGTAGGTTTCCCCACTCTGCAGGGCCTTCATGTAGCCTTCAGAGGCTGGGGTGGGCCAGGCAGCAGGGATGGAGGCAGCATGTAGAAGCATAGAAACAGGAGCTTTATTCTCTAATGTGCATACAGCGAGTTCCTTACACAATCAAGGAAATGGTTTCTCTTTCAGGCATCTGACTCTTTTATCAAAAGAAAATCCGTCAGCTTAGTCCCACTCTGGGCAGAAGCTGCCCTGAGCAGTGTTCTTAACGTAAAGTAAAAGGCTAACGGGGAGATGGGAAGGCGCACCCACCACTGAATGCCCAGATGCCCTAGGCTTGTGGGGACAGCTGTTAGGGGGTGTAGCACGAGTGACACCCCAAAAGATACACACCTCCCCACACTGCCATAGAGCCAGACTGGGAAGACCAGGAGGGTCGGACTAATGGGGTATGGCCAGGGCCGTACAGTCAAGGCCTCAGTGCTCAGCATCCATGACGTCCAAGTATTTGGCTTCAATGATTCGGGGCAGCAGGTTGTAGCTGGGGTGGAGTGGAGGGCAGAGGGTGAGCACTGGGTCAGACAAGGCAGAGGGCACCACTCCAGCCCACCCACAGGGCCAGGCTGCCCACCGCAGCTCGCCACTGTGCGACCAGCTCCCATACCGGATGGGGATCATGGCGATCATGATGAGAGGAAAGATCATCTTCATGTAGGGCAGGGTGCTCATGCCAAAGGCACAGAGCAGCAGCAGCTGCAGGACCTGCAGGCCTGTGAAGTAGTGGATCTTCCTCTGCGGCACCCTCCGGACGTAGTGGGTGGGTGGGTATGAGGTCTGCAGGCAGCAGGAACCAGGCTTAGGCAGGTGGGAGGCTGAACCCCTACCCACACCCCTCCCACACAGGGCCACACACCCACCTGGTCCTTGAGCAGCAGAACCATGCGCTCGAAGAGCTGGTTGCTGTCAATGGAGGTGAGTGCGATGTAGAGGAAGAGGCCGTACAGCACAGGCTTGGGGATCCACTGTAGTGGGAAGGGCAGCAGCAGGAGGGAGAACCCCACCAGGACGCTCGCACCCAGTGTGGTCAGCCGCGTCTCCTTCACATTCACGATCCTGTGTGGTCCCAGGGCACCCACTGGTCATCTGCTCTGGTCATGGGGCCACAGCCAACCTCTGGTCACACGTGGTTCTGGGCTACATCATTTCTGGGCCCTTACTCCTGGGCCACAGCCCTCCCTGGGTCATGTGGCCCAGGGTCCCTCCTACCTCATGGTCCACGTGACCCTTCAGGTCTCAAGGGGCTGTTGTCACACTCACGTCTCATAAATGTGCCCGTTCTCCACTCGCTCCTCCACCAAAGCCAGAGCCCGTACGTGCAACGGAGAGTGGGGGTAGGCAGCATGGATCCAGGGCAGCCCAAACAGAGACAGCCCTGTGTTGATGATGGCGATGAGCAGGAGGTCCCAATGGTAGGCAGTGCCCTTCACCAGCCTGTGACAGACAGGGGCCACATGTGGACAGATAGCCGCTGGCCCTTTGGAGGGCTGGGCACATGCTCACCCCTCCCTGCACAGCCCTGCAAACCTATTCTCCGGAGCATTGGTCAAGGCAGCCACCAGGTTCTGCTCGATGAAGAAGAGCATGGAGAGCAGGAAGCCAAGGCCCATGGCACCGCCGATGGCCGCTAGGGACAGCGAGTGCATCTCGGCTAGCTCAAAGAGGCTTTCGCTGGGGTTGTAGCTGAACTTGCTCACTGCAGCAGGGTACAGGCCCCTGCTCAAGCCTGCAGGCCCCAGGCAGCAACCGCACCCCAGCCCAGCCTGGTCCCAACTTACTCTTAATTTCCTGGAAGCCATAGGAGCAGATGAGAGAGAAGGTGAGCACCGAGATGGGCAAGGCACAGTCTGACAGGATCTCACGCATGTGGGGGTGCAGGTAGGGGCTGGGGACACAGGCCGCAGGTGTGTTTGCATGGCCTGGGGACTCTGCCCCCTTCTCCTCACCCTGGACCCCCCCTCACCTCTTCTTGAACTGGTAGAGTGTGTAGCTCAGCCAGAGTGTGCCCAGCATGATGAGGAGGCTGAGCACGGCAGTCTCCCGGCCTGGGTGCTCAGAGCCACGGCTGCCCAAGGAGGTCAGCTCTGGTGTGCTGGTCAGGAAGCTGGTGTTGAGGGCAGTGTGGAGGCTGGTGTTCAGGCCCAGCTGGCTCACCATGGAAGTGCTGTCCATGTAGAGTTTCCCAAAGTTGTGGCCATAGTAGTACTTCTGGAATACTGTGGATAGAGGCCAGCCGGCCTCAGCCATTCTGGGCTCTGGGAGATGGGAGCCCAGCTGCCTCCTGGATGTGAGGTAGAGGGACTCCAAGGGGAGAAAAGGCTTCTGGGAGGAGGTGGGGGATCTGGCCTTCTCTGTCAGCCATGATCCACTGACCTGCCATGACCCCTGCCCTGCCCCCAGCTGTTGTCCCTTTGCTCCGTCTGACAGCACCTGGCCAGTGCTTCTGATCCTGCCTGGGCAGCACTGGCCCCTCCAGCTCATGGGCCTACTGCTCTCTGCCAGTCACAGCTCCCCAGAGCACCCTGGACCATGGCAGCAACGTCAGCCTGCTAGCTTCTTGGCTGCCCAGGTCACAGCCCGTTGTCCCCATCTCAAGTCAGCTCTCCCTGCAGCTGGTGGCCACCAGCTGGACACTCACTTTTGACCATGCCCTTGACAGCATCCAGCACGAATGTGATGGAAATGAACAGGGCAATGATTTCCTCTGTTGACCTGCCAGGGGGTGATAATGCCTCTTAAGATGAGGGTGAGCTGTAAGGGGCCAAGGGGGAAGGCTTCCCTGAGCTTCTGTATGGTCCCCCCACCTCCTCCTGCCACAAGACCATCCAAGGTCCCAGGCTTTCCCCGTGGGGGTAGTGATGTGGGGGTAACCCATCCACTCTAGGGTTACAGGACTTCAGAGGCTGGCATAGAGGCTGACCCAGATCTCTGCCCTGGTTTCCCTCCTGCTTGAGGGACCCAGCAGCTCAGGGAAGGCCCTGTCACCTCTTGAAGACACTCATGACCAGGCTGAGATTGAAGAGGGCATAAAGCGCAAGGAAGAAACTGTTCCATAGGCCCGTCCACGCATAGAAGGTGTTGAAGTCGAGATCATAGTCATCACAGATGCCACGGATCACTGCAAGCAACAGGACGGGTGGGCGGTCAGGGCCAGGCCAGGGCCAGGGACCTTGGAAACCACCCTCCCACTGACGCCCCCATGGCACCGTGGATGTAGAGGGCCAGAGGCGCTGTTGTCAGCAGCACCACCA